TATATATATATATATATATAGCTTAAGATTTTGGTTTACGAAACACAAACAGTGCTCAATACCATATAGATAGAGCGTAATATAGTTTTTCGTTTTACCTCAAAAAACCACAACAGTCTGTTTCATACGGATGAAACGGATGAAACAGACTGTTGTGGTTTTTTGAGGTAAAACGAAAAACTATATATATATATATATATATATATATATATATATATATATATATATATATATATATATATATATATATATATATATATATATATATATATATCGATCGATAAAAAGAGATTTTGTGTCATAGGAAGTTCGCGAGAGAGTTCGTGTGTGGATAAGAAATCAAATGAAAGTCCACTAGTCGATAAGAACAACCAAGAGATATTGGAGGAAACAGGAAGCCCATCAACTGAAACGAAATTCAGAAGTGGTCTTTTCAATATCGTAAAGTCAAATAAGTAAGTATTCTCATGTCCAGGAATTTACGCATGCAGTTGTTATCATGTTTTATAAATTAACATGTATATAACGTGTGCTCTGATTGGTCGAAACCCGTGTTTGGATCGGGCCATCCAAACACGGCCATCCAAACACGGCCATCCAAACACGGAAATTTAGTAGACTATATCGTGTTGTTGTTATTTTATCGGCTCATGATTTCGCGCGCTTTTCTTAACTCTCGCAACATTCCCGCGTGTTTAGATCAGGCCATCCAAACACGGAAACCATAAAGTAATTGTATAGTCTTTGCCGATGTCCTTGACACAATAGGGCCATTTATACGGGACAAAATAAGACGCGACTTACACAAGACGCGACTTAAATAAGACGCGAGTTTGTCGTATAAAAGGTACAAAATTCTTATGTAAGACGCGTCTTGGATAAGACGCGTCTTACATAAGAACAGGACTTTTAGCTGTTCTTATTTAAGTCGCGTCTTAAATAAGAAATTTTGGACAAAAATTCTAACTACACATGCCCGAAACTTGAAACAACGTAAAATTATTAGCCTTGTATATTAAAACAAAAACAACCGAAACAACAACATAGCTATAGAAAGTACAAATAAGAATAAATCCGTAGAGAACCATTTATGCGATAACTCCGCTTATATAAGACGCGTCTTATGTAAGACGCGACTTATTTTGTCCCGTATAAATGGCCCTAATGCATGCATTTGAGGTATAAAAGCTTGAAAGAACAAAAACATAGTTGAGACTGATGAGAAGTGATCTAAAATAATATTATACCTCAAATTCAAAGCTTGTGACACGTGAGCATGAAATTTATCATCGAATCGCGCCTTACGTCATCGTATTTGACGTAAGCGGGTGACTTGAATCATGATCATATCACATGGCGATTTGCTCACGTCATCCGGGTGACATGATTCGCATAAACCACGGGCGGCGATCACGCAGACAAGATGGCCGACAAAAATATACTAAGGAGTGATGTTTATTAAGTTTTTAAAAAATTTGAAAAATGTTATCATCAATATTCTAAACGATATGTGATTCGAAAGAAAAGTGACAAATACTTAAATGTTATACAAATATGCGTTAATCAAAAAATAAAACATCGTATTCGCGAAGGTGTGTTGCAAGTTTTATATTCTCAACTTGGAGGCCTTTAATTTTCGGTATAATATATCATTTATAGACACTTAATGGATACGGCGAAATATTACCCTCAATGATGATGTTTTCCTCGGGGTATCATCTGCATGCACTTCGGGAAATATTTAGTCGCCGAATTCCCCTCGCTCCAGGTCTATATAAATGATAAATGTTCTCCGCGGTTTTTACAAATACACGAAATCCGGTTTTTTATGAAGCTGCTATATATACTCTTCACATGATCTTGTAGTCATACTTTGATTGGAAAATGAAGCTGCCAATGTTTGTGTGAAAAGGAAATAAGCAAATTATAGTAGAACACATCGACAGATCTAAAAGATTGAAGGTCGTGTCATATTTGTACTCGTGATGTTGGTTCAGAATTATATAATTATTATAATTGAGTTCATACTACTCAGTTCCTTTTTATGTGAGTATCCTCGTCTCAGGCACTTCTATCAACTTCTGTCCCGGTGACTGAATATCTGGTCGATCATTTTTCTGCACTCTTCTCGCCCATTTATTTCTGGCGCTCTCGATTTCGTCCGTACTTAGTGGATCGTTTCTTCGCTTTCCTTGCTTCGGAACGACAGTTACGACAGTCCATGCTGTGAGACGTAAAGTTCTCCAATATGAACTTTGATCGAGTAGATCAAATCATTCACCCGTTTCTCGCTCATTACAGAAGAAGATTGATTCTGTGTCTTTGTGCTTATGATTTGTTTCTTTGTTGTTAAGGCCACTGATCATGGTCTTAACTGAGAAGCCAGTTTGCTCCTGTAAACATTCATGGCTCTCAAGCTCATGGCTCTCTGTGATCGCGCCCCTGCATGTGTGCTTCTTAAATCTGCAAGGTTTATCTTTGTTGGGCAGTTTTCACAAATAATGTTTACTTCGTCGGTTATCTCCACTATTTTCTTTACCCTGTTAGCTACGAACACCTTCCAAACTTTGCCCGTATTGTTTACAACGCCCATATCCTCTCCACAACAGCGATAGCTACTGAACAACAAGCTAAAGTATACTTACATCTGCAAAGACGTGAAGGTGAATTGCTTCCATTCTCCTGAATGAGGAGAAACTTCCGCATCCCAGCCTTTCGTCTTGTCGCACACATCGCGATATTCTTTTCCTTCTGCTATTGTTCGAAGGATTATTCCAAGCGGGTCGACGTCGTGTATATGCATGCTTAATTCTTAGATGACTTCCGTCTTTCTTTCTTGTGATATTCTCTGTAAATTCATTCAGAATTTCGTTGTTGGTGTCTCCTCAATCCTCGACTTCTAAGACGTTTAAGCTATACTGTCTCTCACAGTCACTTGTCTTTCTAGCGAACATGCACTGATTGTCAGTGTAGTCATCGCCTCCATGGATTTCTCATCCAAAGCCAGTTTCTTCAACAAACTAAATGATTTGACTAAAAATCTCGTCGCGCAAAAGTAGCCTAGTTTTATAAACGACTATAGTATTTGAACGTAAAACGACTTGATAGTATTTTAACATTTAAACCTATAAACGCATTTACAGCTATTTAGCACTGCATGCTCATGCCAAGTTTGACTGCAAGACTCTGCAATGACACAATAAGAATTTTTCAGATAAAGGCGTATATCGCGTGATGTTCGAGCACAGGACAAATATTTGCTTATCTATAATATTCGTGTAGACGTGGTTTGAGAGTCTTGGAGCGATCTGCGAGTTCTTCGTGCAAGGGCTGGAAAACGGGCTTCATATGAGAATCGATAAATCTTGTCAGTTATACCGCTTAATTAAATTAATAACAATTTCCTTTTGTTTGCTCGTGAATTATTAACACGTTTTGAGAACGACGGTATATAGCCTATAGTCATTCCGTTCTTGTTCATTTAGCATTACTATTAATGAGGAAGGCGGATGTTTTCATGTCCCCGTAGCGAGTGCCTTCTTTTTATTTCCACCAAACGCTGTTGAGGAGGAAATAACTCTAATGTGTAGCCGATTGAAACTGAAATATAAAGAATGTGAAGTGAAACCAAGAGACGGGGAAGTATTCGTGAGCCGGATCTTGAAAATTGAACCAGAAGGTGTGAAGTTTAAGAAACCTGTAACAGTTCTTCTATCCCACTCGCTCTACGAGGACCAGGATTTTCTGTATTTTTATGAGTTGATCGTTGAAAGTTTAAGCCCGACTGGATGGCAGGAGTTAAAGACAGAACGAATAAGCTCCATTAAAGGTATTGGTCAGTTTCAAACCATGTTGTTAGAGTAATTGGCAAAACTTTCATGAGTCATTACTTAAATTTCCCGTTAAGTTATATGCAAATAAGCCCCCTTCCTGATGATAACATCGCCTTTTTGAGAGAAAAATTTATTAAGTCGTCCTTCCTTTAACGACAAAAAATTATAATCTGTAATGATTTTCTACGTTTCGGCGAAATCAACCCCTCTCTTCTGCGTTAATCTTCCTTTCTCTTCTCTGAAATTATTGATTATTTATTTTTTAGATGTTCCAAAAGAAATACCGAATAAAAAGATCTTAGATGATTACTTGCCGTTTGCCAAAGCGACCATACACGAAACTTATACCTTAGTTGCTGCAACACGAGTCAGGTCTGATCAGATTTTGATACCAACAAACGAACGTTATACCTTTTCCAAGCAATATGGAGACAAAACAGAACTGAATATTACATTTCCGGCTGGTGTAACTGAGAAGACACTAATTTTAGCAGTCCAGGTAACATTTTTCTGCGGTGCACTGTGGTTAACGTGTAACGTAAGAGTTAATGTATTTAGTATTGAGTGTTGCCCTTCAAGTTGAAGTGTAGGTTGCGATGGACACTATATATACACGAGTGTGGTTGAAGGATCCAACTACCTGACAAATATAAAAATTACTGCAAACTTTCTATGCTTTTTGTAGGTAAAGTCGAACCTTTGCTTACAGACACCATACTGATACGGACATTTTGCTCTTTCCTATTGGTGTCAGTATATATTAGTGAGGTTCAACTGCAGTTATATGTACTTCAACCAACCAAGTTGTTATTAGCAACTTACTTGTTTGCAACTTACTTGACAACCTTTGATTAAGTGTAAGAAGAACTTAAAATAGACAAATTGCTAGCAAGTGGGATGCTAAAATTGTGCGTGCCTATATAAAAGAACATGGACGGCTGCGTGCCGATGGTGCAGTATAACATACACAGAAGAAGAACATTGAAAAATACACAATGTAGCGAACAAGATTTCTTATACTCCTGTGTAAATTTTACACCTTTTAGTTGTTTCCTGCTCGTGCTGTCCTAAACAGAGATATACGTTCAGATAAAAATCTTGTTTGTGTGCCGATAATTAAAGTTTCTGGTCAGAAGACTCCATTCTTCAAAGCAGTTGATATCGAGCTTATATACTCTCACAGCGACGTGAGTAGTATCGAAGAAGAATTTTTACCAGTTGGAAAAAGGGTCAAGTTTACAACTGAGTATGGGCTGTTGCTACGTAGCCACAGGGAGACCGAATCGAAGTCGAACTGGCAAGCATTAAATGAAAGTAACGATGTTTATATTGAGCGATCAAGAAAGGATCAGCTTAAGTTCGCATTTTCAGTGGAACATTTTTGCTAGTAAGTGATTATGTAGGATTTTCTAGTAAGTAGTTATACTGTACATTGTTCAATCACAAAGGAAAGAATTACAGACGGAAAGAATGTCGATTTTCCACATTTGGCGTTTGTAACTATTTTTGTATATATTGCATTGTTAAACCAAACGAATTAGGGGTTATTTAAGCCATATTTAGCGAGGTTCTTTTAGAGAAGGAGCTAAATTTTAAATAGAGAGGGGCGTATTGATTTTTGTTCAACGCTGTAATTTTTCATGTGTAATTAAGAAATGCAGTAAATTAAAGTGAACTCAAAGCCAAGTAATATATCTAATTAACAACTGCACGTTTTATTAGTGTTCAAGGGCGAGAAGAGAGAGATATTACAGAGGTTCTGATTTGACTTCCGCTACCGTTAAGGGCCATTAGCCAATCAGATGTATTGATATATCCAATTAACCAATCAGATACGTTCTAAGCCAATGAGTGGTAGCGGTGGTGGAAGTCAAATCTAAAGAAAGATGGGACTTAGTGGAGAAAATACGTATAAAAATGAACCGTGACAATTGTTGAATGAGGTTAGCATGATAAGACCATTAATCAAGTCCAATGTTTGTATTATAATTGGAGACGGGAAAATAAATAAATAATTCATAAATGGAAAGAGAAAAGTGGAGACTATACGATTTATATGATTCATTGAGAAATCAAGCAGCAACATTTTCTTGTCTTTTAGTATTCTGTCGTTTGTGAAGAGGATTATCGGTAGCATTTTGCCACTGTGGAGCAGTGGTATGGTGGAAACGAACAATCCAGCTTGTCATTCCGCGATTGCTTTGGCTGTGCACAAAACCGATAGCAGCCCAAAGACACTTCGAGCTGTGTTGGCGCCTGCGGTAGCGTTAAGTGATGTTAAAACCTCTTGGAATGCAGAAACTGATAAAATCCGCAAATTCGACGAACCTCTCAAATCAAAAGAACCGATATACTTCTGTGTTCCACTGTCAGACAGCCATCATCTGCCCCTAAAGGATCATACTTTGAGGTAAATTCACTGGTATAGTATTATTAGTAATGCTGTGCTGAGTGGTTATATTATACTACCTTAAAAAATAAGCAGAAACTCGACGTTTCGAGCGAAGGCCCTTCGCCATCGAAACGTCGAGTTTCTGCTTATTTTTTAAGGTAGTAATATAACCACTCAGCACAGCATTTCTACATTGGTACTACCTACACTGGTACAGACAGTTTTTAGTATTATTAGTAGCCTGCGTAATACTGTCAGACGATAATGATGATCGTCAAGTAAATCAGTTGAAATTTAATGATATAGTTGTTTTGTTTTGTAGAAAACACCACGCCAAACAAAAATTACATTTTATTGTTTATTTGTTTTGCCAAGTTTTTGATCCGCGCAATGGATAATGAAGTATATCTGGCCGGATAGGTAAAGATAGGCCATCATTCCTTGCAGCCAATAACTAAATTGTGATACAGAATCGCGTTAATAAACGTGGTGTTTCTACAAGAAAAAAACAACGAAGCTATTTATTGCCACGCAAACATTCAACGAATTTATGATGGAAAAATCCTGGCATGCTTATAAACTAACTCGGCAAAGCCACATGTTTTTTTGTGGGGGTTTTTTTGGGGGGTTGGGGAGGTAATGAGATGACTTGCGAGGTTACGTATCGGCCCATTTACACGATACGACTAGACGATTCTTATCCTTGTAATGCGTGTAAAGATGTGACATTTCAAATTTCGCCACGAACTGGTGAACAGGAATAGTGACGTCAGTAGAATGACAATCATTACAGCTAGTTCTATGGTGTAAATGGGCCCTATAAGCTCTAACTTCTGTATAATGGCTGTACATCCCTGGTATTTGGCGTTGCCTTTTTACTTAGGTTTGATCCAGATCCTGTGTTCCCATTGGTACTAGATAACAACACAGATGATAATCTTAATGGCAAATACATGCATTTCTTAACGGATAGAGACTGCAATAATGGCGAAAATCATAGTACACAAGGAGATTGTCATGCGAAGGCACCAATCCATATTTCTGAGACGAGATCAGTTCAGGTTGGTCGACATACTGCGATTGTTTATCCTTAAACAAAACACGTTGCATGCTAATAGCTAATGTTGCAAAATTGTCGAATTTTGAAGTAAACACCCAACGAAAATAAGTTAATGATACGGTAACTAACGTTGTAACCAACACAGCCGCTGGAAGGGCAGTTGATATCCTATACGTTGTATATGTAAAAATGTGTAGATCTTAAGTAATTACAGTCTACACCAGCCTCGTACCCAGGCGCTAAAAATGGGCACACTACAGTGTTTTTATATAGATCAGTGGCTTGAGCGCGCGGGGGTTGCGTCCTCCCCAAGCACCCCCGCGCGCTCGCTCATCTTAGCCACTGATCTATATAAAAGTACTGTAGTGTGCCTATTTTTAGTTAATTGCGCCTGGGTACGAGGCTGAGTCTACACGCTGAGAGGGAAGGATGGGTGTTGTTACTGTGCAACGTAGCAAGTAAAGAAACGCAACAAACGTAAAATTTCAGTTACCCAATTTACCCTTCCAGATAGTATGCCCTGATGATAGTACGTCACTTTGGCTATAGCGCCTTGTTTTCATGTATGTATTAAGGTCCAAAGTCTCATCACGAAAGCGAGGCTCTTCAGCTAAGGTGATACATCTGCTTTTTGGAAAGGTGTATTAATGAATCTTTATAGCAGACAATCAAATGGCCAGAACATTTACGTATAACCACTATATTGATGTCATTCATACAATGAGTAAATCAGTATTTGTCGTCTTCATTCATCTTCATGGATGGCGATGTTGTGTTTGCACCAAAAAACCCGATATATATTGTGTCGACCTCGGCCAGCAAATTAAGTCAAGTATCATGCATAAATTGTACAATGGGCTAATTACGTATTTTGTTTTCTCAGTCCAGCAGAGCAAGACGAACGTTTGACAATTTCTCATTCAGCAGTTTTTGTCCAAATTGTATCAAAATTTAATCTTTGGCCTAATACCAATGGCCCTATAAGTTTTCGTATTAATATGTTTGATATTTTTGAGTTATCGTGCTAACACGAAGAGTTGAATATTTGTATCAACTTCTTTACATTTTAATTGAATTGGTGCCGTAAGTCACATTGAAATACTCCGTGACTTGCGTTTAATTCAATGTTTGATTTTTGGATTTGTTCTATAGGCAAGAGAATGTCATGAACTCGTGCTTGGTAGTGAATCACCGCAAGGTAGGTTATGCCGATTTTCCACTGGGCGAATTGATTCTACATTTTGTGGAGAATGGTGCAGCATGGTGTTAACCAATCGCATTGTTGACTTGGAAAATATACAAAAATACATAATAGGGATTTAAGAAGGTAGTGAAAACTGGTTTTAATCTGCGCTTTGCAAAGTAATATGTTATCGTGCGAGTATAAGTGCGGCCAACCTTGGTGGTAACAATGAATTATTGACCAAAAAGTATCCCACGAAGCGCTGTGCATTCCAAAAGTCCTCCGTATTAAAACTTGCGTGACGTAAGCACTTCTAAGGTCGCTATTTAGATCAATATTGGACAAGTATGAATTATACATACAAAAGCAAGAAATTATAAGTATTGAAGGTATTCATATAAAATTACCCATTTTAGCTGACTTTTGATTTTCTGCAAGGTGTTTGATATCCAAATTGCACTAGTCCTGCCTGCTGAACAGGCGTCTTAGGGGCTGTTTACATGATGGAAGGCGGGATGATTTTGAAGTATTGAAATAAGTCACCAGGCTAAACGAAAGTTCAAATGCTGGTTAACAGAACTGTAGAGAAGATCTTGTAGTTCAAGAAGATTATTATTGCTGCTTGAACCATTCGTTTAACTATAATCTATCTCTAGAAAATAATGAAGTTTTTTGCTGAATCGTTCACTGTGACTTATTTCAATACATCGAAATCATCCCGCCTCACATCTCGTCCTGGCAAAGCGAGATCGTGTAAACTAAACAGCCCCTTATTCAGCAAATTGCACATACTGCCTTTGATCCCTTGGGGGCCAGGCAGCTCTTTCCTTGCGATAGTAATTTCTAGTTTAAAGGTTTATACTTGATACGCACTTGGTACTGTATACAATGGCATAGGAAGACCGTATGTTTTTATGGGGGAGGTTGTTCCTCGATTACAGACACATGTTTGTAAGACTTTATTAGACTATTTTACTATGTAATCGACAGTCATTTATAAACACGAAAGCTTTAATGAGCAGGATCTCTGTCTTTCTGACCAATTGTAGAATGGAGGAAGGCAGTCCCACTTCTGTATCTGTTCTTGAGCATTCGCTTTGATTGCACCCATTTAGTAACATATTTCCTAATGATTTTGAGGAGGCGTGCTTATCTCCCATACATAAATGGAATAGTAATTTAGAATGTGGTAATTACAGACCAAGATTATATAAAGCATATAAGAAAAAAACATACTCGGAATAATTATGCCATCTTGTAAACTGAAGATATGAGTTATTTAAAGAAAACAAGACCCAAATTATGTTGGGGGATATTTTGACTCTATTTCAGTTTTGGTTTGACAATGATCCTGAAATAGAGTCGAAATATCAACATCATAATTTGTGGCTTATTTTCTTTAAATAACTCATATCTTGAGTTGACAAGATGGCTAAATTATTTTGGAGTATGTTCTTATATTTCTTAAATTTGTCTGCTGGTGAAGGAATAAATATAAAGCATTTTGTTCAAGTGCATAGGCATAAGGGGACTTGCACAGTCCCTATTGTCCCCCTTTGGTAACAATGATAGAAACGTTTTTCCACTTATATATTTCAGATTCCACGCCCTCATTTGAACAAAAAATAATATCTATCAACGACCTTAGTGTTGATGCATGTCGTGTTGGGCGTGTGACTAGCGTCACTCCATACGGGGCCTATGTTGACATTGGAGTACGAGGCCGCGAAGGACTGTTATGCGAAGGACTGTTACACAAGTCTGAGTTTCCATCTTCCAAAGATTTAGAAACTGGAGATACGTATTCTGTGGTTTGTACAGATGTGAATAAGACAGGAAATCTAATAGGACTTCGTTTGAAATAACTACACTATTTCCATCACCCTAATAAGTGGACTTTTTATCACTATATGCAGCCTAGACCTTGCCTAGACCAAGGCCTGGGACCCAGGCAATTTGAGAGCGGAGCGGAGGAAGGACGAAAGCTAACCTCGTACCCAGAGCTCTGGCCTTCATTATTATGTGACGTCATACTAAACGTTAGCCCAAAATTGACCATAACTGCCAAAGCCAGTCGAGTAGAGTAGAGGGTCTAGGCTGCACTGTACGTAGATTTTAGGGTGCACTATCGTGAGCTAACTAACCCAACAATAAAAAGTACATGAAGTAAAGTCTAACCAAGATTTTTGCAAAAGTGATCAAAATTGCTTAAAAAGTAAAGGTAACCCGTATTTATCTTTTTCTATTTTTGGCCACATTTAAGGTAATTCCGCAGTAATTGTTCCCGAAATGAGAATGTGCTGAAACTTTCCAGGCATGGAGTTTATGATATACTTAAAG